TAGATGTTATCATGCCGATAATCAGAAGTATCAAACCTATCGGTGTGCAACGAGCTCAAAAAACTACTGGACGTCGAGGTACAGGTGTCTGATTTGAATAATACGTACAGATTAAGAACTCAAGGAAGAAATCCACTGAAGGTTGAATTCATCTCATACCTCAAGAAACTCGAAGTTCTTAGAAATTGCAAGAAACTGAAAGGGTCTGGTATATCGATTACGAACGATCTTACCTACAAACAAAGGTGCCAAAATAAAATACTCAGGAATCATCTGAACAAAGCAAGACAAAATCCTTCAGTTCATTCTTATATAAAAGGAACTAAATTGTACATAAACAATAAAGCTTATACTGTCGAAGAACTCGAAGAAAACGAAAATTGTCAAGTAGGAAATCGAAAGAACAATAGTGCTCCATCAACACCTTCCATACGAGACCTCGATAAGGAATTTTTCCAATTGAGTAATCGCGATAGAGAGGAGAAGGCTTCAGAAGGCAAATCCACAAACGACTACTCAGCCAGTGGAGGGTCTAGTGCAACAAACGAAGATAAGAACAGTACCAACCCAATAGCTATCAGCCTTCCCAAGAAAACATCGAGAACAACTGCTGCACCTGAACCTGCTCTGAAGGAAAGAACCAAGTATTTGAGATCTGGTTCAGTATCAAATGGACGCATTTAAGTCTTTCAGATGTTGTATATATAATTTGTCTAATCAATAACTTTTTATTAAATTCAAACTATTTCAATTCTTTTATAAACGATAATATATATAAAAAAGAAAAACAAAAATGGATCCCTACATAAAGGAATACGAAAATGAACCAATAAAAGCAAAAAAACTCAATAATTTTTCAGAATTAGATGTAACATTAGAAAATGAAATATCACTCATTAAAATAATTCATATGAATATAAGAAGTATCCAAAAACATTATGATGATTTGGTTTTAATGATCAGCCAAATGAATAATGATTTTGATATAATAGTTCTCACAGAAACATTCATGATACATGACATAGATTTATTTAATATAGAGGGCTATAATACAATATATAACAATGGAAAATTCAATCAACATGATGGAACCATAATATATTTGAAAAAACATTATGATTATAGTTACAAGTTGATAGATATGGGACCTTCAAAAGCTATTGAACTGAATGTTCAAAATTTTAAAGAACCGATCATTTTAACAGCAGCTTATAGATCACCCAGTACCTGCCCGAAATTGTTCAATACAGATTTACTGACGTACCTAGAAAACTCGAAATTCAATAACCACATCATCACTGGTGATATTAATATCAACTTACTCGATGATAGCGAATATTCAGAAGAGTATAAAAATGTGCTGAATTCTTCAGATTTTATTTCATACATAAATGATGTCACGAGAAGGATGAGTAACTCTTGTCTTGATCATTTTTATGTTAAAAACAGTCGTAAGTACTTTGAAGAAGTTTATTCTTATATTATAAATAACGATTTAACCGATCATGATCCTATCATTCTAGTGATTAAACTGGATAATCCTAGAGATCAACTCCAAAGCGAATCACATAAGAATTATAGGACCATCATTGATTATATAAATTTGAAAAATGATATCAGCAGTGAAACCTGGGAAAATGTCAACACGCTGAACGATATTGATCAAATGATGGAAACATTCATTAACAGACTGAACTATCACATCGATAATAACACAAAAAGAATTAAAACATCGAATAAATACAGGAGCAAAAAACCTTGGATCACGTCAGGACTTTTAAAGTCCGTAAATAGAAAATATGAGTTATATTCAAGAATTCAAAGAGAACCCAACAATATTTTGATTAATGAATATAAAAACTATAAAAATAGATTAAATCATCTTATCCAGAAGTCGAAAAGAGATTATTTCAGGAAAACTGTAGATAGTAATAAAAACTCAGCGAAAAGTTTATGGAAATGCGTGAATAAGATTTGTAACAAGTCAAAAACCGAAACGAAAATAAAAATGATACAAACAGAAACCAACACAATTACTGACAAAAACCAAATAGCTGAAGAATTCAACAAATATTTCAGTGACTTGGGAAAAAAACTCGCTGATAACATTGATACACCAATCGGTTTTACTGAAAATATTCCCACGCTGGAAAACACGATATATTTATTTCCAACTACTGACGTTGAAGTAACTTCTATTATAAATAATCTAAAATGCAATAAAGCACCTGGAATAGACAAAATCAGGGCAGATACCCTCAAACCAATATCAGAATTCATTGCTCCGCCGCTATGTTATATAATCAATAAGTGCATTGAACATGGATATTTTCCGAAATCCATGAAGATAGGGTTGATCAAACCTCTTTTCAAAAGTGGAGAAAAAACCAGAGTAGGAAACTATCGACCAATATCTTTAATTTCAACTCTTGCCAAGGTATTTGAAAAAATCATTAAAATCCGACTAGTCAAGTTTTTCGATAAGCATCAGGTTTTTTCTGAAAATCAGTATGGCTTTAGGGAGGGAAGGTCAACCGACGATGCAATTAGATCTCTGACAAAATTGATATATAACGCAATTGACTCCAATAAACCCGCATTATGTGTTTTCATTGACCTCTCTAAAGCTTTCGATACGGTTTGCCATGAAACCTTGTTGAAAAAATTGAAGATATATGGTATAAGAGGACAAACATATCAACTTTTAGAAAACTACCTGTCGGATCGTCAACAACACGTCGATATAGACGGTGTCATCAGTCAACCGAGGAAAGTATCTTACGGAGTACCTCAAGGAACAGTTCTTGGACCAGTTCTGTTCACTATATATATAAATAGCTTACTTACTATGAACCTGAAGGGAGCTACTCTAAGCTTTGCGGATGACACCGCAATATTCTATCAATCAGATACATGGATGGCGTTGAAACAAGAAGTACAATTAGATTTCAAAACAATTAAATCCTGGTTTCAACTAAACAAATTGACTCTAAATATAGAAAAAACTCAATATCTTCCGTTCACATCATATGTTAGCAACTTACCACAATTGGGAAATTTGAAAATTGATCAAAATACATCAATACCAGAAGCAGAATCTGTCAAATATCTGGGGATAATTATTGATAGACATTTGCGATGGGACTTACAAATGTCCAATCTGGGGAAAAAAATTAGAGGATTTCTCGGTAGATTCAAACTCCTCAGAGAATTTCTTGACATAGAGCACTTGAAATCTGTATACTACGCCCTTATTCAAACACAACTTACCTATGGAATCATTGGATGGGGGGGAGTAAATGACATTCATTTGAATAAGGTAAATGTACTACAAAAATGGATATTGAGACTAATATACCGAAAAAAGAGAACTTCGTCTAGCGATGAATTATACAAAGATAGTAAAATATTGGATATTCGGCAGCTATACTGCCAAAAAATCTTAAATGATTCACATTCTAAGAAAATAAAACTCCACCCTGTCGAACATGATTACGACACTCGTCAAAGACAACGAAGTGTCAAAATTCCCCAATGTGAAAAGAGTATTGGTCAAAGAAGCTTCATTTTTCTAAGTGCAAAATTATTCAATTACATACCCATTCAACTCAGAACTATAAAAAATCATGGATTTTTCAAACGTAAAATTAAGCAATGGCTACAAAATATTGAAAGGTCAATAATCAGCAACATTGTCAATAATAATTATATCTAATTCTGTTTTGAAAATAGTATGAAATATAAATCTTCTTACCTGTGAGATCTATATATACAAAACTTACATCTTACATCAAATGTTTGATATTTCTAATACTCGGTATACCTAATTCAATTTGTTATACTCAGTCCATTATTCTCGTGTTTTTTTAATCAGTATTATGTTACCTAACTCATTTTTTGTTGTGGTAATTTTGATTGTATCAGAAATAACATACAAGATCGAATACGGCATACTATGCATTTCTATATCACGTACAAGCTGGCCTACAGCTTCTGTGATTGTCATGTTTATTCTGCTAATGTTCACTCCCAATTTTCAATTATCATTTTCGTTTCAGTATTGTATTTGTATAATTACTCTTAACTCAATTTTATATATATGTATATGTTCACTATTAGGTTTGTATATTAACACTTCTTATACATTGCGAATAAACATTATTCTATTCTATTCTATTCTATTCTATATCTATTCTATTCTATCTATGGTTATCAGGCAACTCACATTACTATACTACATATATCCGACATGGCTATTCATTAATATACTAGGTACAGTATAAAGGAAAAGGAACGATAAAGCACCGGGTTTCTATTTACTCCGTATAGTGAAATAAAGCTAGCAGAGGATAGTTTTTATCCTTACTGTGAGCTAGACAAGACCTTATGTAACTTAAACAGCTGTTTGTGGTTTCATGAAATCATTCCATCTATTTATCATAGGGGTAGGAAAATAACATTATCTCCTTATGAAGAAAAGCTATCCAATTTTAGGTGTAGGTATATTTTTATGATTCCTTGACAACCTCAGTTATTTAGTAGGAATCTGTCTCGAATACCCACGTCAGAACTTTGAACCCCTGCCTCTCAGGGGTAGGTAGTTCGCCCGATTAGCGTTGTTCAAATAATCTGTGTAGGTGATTTTTATACTGTATTATAATGACCAGTTCATATTCTCTACAGTAAACTACAGATTTAGGTATACATATATTTTCAATTGCTTTGTCAATTTTCCCCTTTTCCCCTCTGTCGAGTTAACTCGGCTGGCGGCCATTTGCTTCCAAAAAAAACATCTATATTTGAAATATTATAACTCTAACCCCACGACCCACTCCGAACATAAAAGCAGCAGGGATGATAAGAATTTTCTGAAATTAACGCCAAAAGAAGAATCTAAATTGTACTTTGTCATGATCTTGCATATTCCGACGTGGAATAACAATGGCAGCCCGTACACCATCTCCTTTCACAGTCAATTGGTATATAGCACCAAGAGCTTCTCAAGCTTGCTCAACCCCAGCTATGAAAAAGTATGACCAAGTTGCTCGTGCCATTTCTTCAATTCCGCCTTCTTGAACTAACCAATGACGCTCAACATGATGATCTTTATAATAGACTAAAGATTCTTGAAAGGATTTCATGATCATACCATACCAGTTAGTCCCGAACCATTTATCCAGGACGGCACCTGCTGGCATGCTCATAGATTGATGTCTCATAGAGTTGTTCCATTTATTGAAATCAAGGCTAATTCGTTGCACAGTGTGGTTTAAATATACAGTTTTCAAGTATCTAAATGAATATAATTTCTTAATCATCTCTAACCCGTTGGGTGCCATCAATTGATCAGGTACGTGATTCCCCATAAGTTTCATAACATTTTCTTCTTGAACAACCCTTCTGTTTCTTTCTTCCAATGGACTAGCACCAAATATTCTACCCTCGGGTTTTTCCTCCAGCTCTTTGGATGTTGATTTGATCACCAAATAATCAAGTATAGATATTTCCCAAACTTCATCATTTTGATAGTTAGCTAGATATTTAGTAAAGGTTGCATCAAAATGGGGCATTAATAAATATGCCAATAGTGCTCTTTCAACTTCTGTGTTCTTCTCCATCTTCGATTTTATAGGTTCATTATCTCTATACTTTGTATTTCCTGAGATGAACCGAAAGACTTCACTTCGGGTCAATCCCAGTGCTTTATCTTTTAGTAAAACGATCTGGTTATCGACTGGGTCAAAATCTTCAGTTTTTTCAATTATTATACCTCCTCATATATTCAGAGGCAGTCTCCTCCATATTTGTGCTCCAGTTCCTTGAGATGGGTTCATCTCATTATCCAATATCTTCTTAAGATATTGAATATGAGAAGTTTGGATAACGTCTCCTGGATAAGTGAAAAAGAAGGAATAAATCTCTCTACATGATACATATGCTCCGTCTAACAGCAATTTCATCAATAACAATGTTGTCGTGTGTCCTATTATATAATGTATTCAAACCTTTCTCTATTTCTATACTTGGGTGTCCACACAACTTAACCAATCCTAACAAGCCTGCAATCTGTGATGTTGTACAAAGCTCGACTATTTTCCATAAATTAGATTTTGAGTATGTAGGAAAATTATCAAATTTTTCCTCGTTGACACTTTTCCATAAATTTATAGCTAATTCTTCATTCCTCCAGCCTCTAACAAAATCACTCCTACGGGTCGATTCAGAGACTCCATACCTCCCATTATTTTCAGATATTTGTATCCGGTATTCTCTCTGGTAACAGTATGCAGAGATGGTTGGCTCACTCTCCAAGCTAATACTTTAGATAGGATTTGGTTCAAAAATGTTACAAAAATTTCCAAATCATCTGTTGGTTCAATAGTTCCAGCACACATATGAGCATATAAGAGAGCACATGGGGCTCACTAATTTCATTAGTGAACTCGAGAAATAAGTTTTTGTCCAACATCCACTTATTGTTACCTTGGGTTACCAAGATGATATCAGGTGTGAGTTGGAATATAGCATCTAGTGATGTTCATTCAACAATGTTATTCACCTTAGCTAGCCTTCCTTTACAGCGAGATGAACTAGATTTTTGGTATGATATAACATGCAGTTGCTTATACACATATAACAATTTGCAAATATTATCTTGAACCATCAACATATTTACTACATCTACAGGAAGTTGTCCTAATTTTATATCCCAGATAGCTGCAGAGTCAAAAAATAAATCCTTGAGGAGAGAACTACAGTTCGACACTCAGTGTGCTATCTGATGAGCTACACTATGAGAAGATGCCTCTTGTATTGAAGCATAGAACTTGTTAACGAGACGTGAATTTTGTATAGGTGTTCGTCCTCCTTCATTCAAAGATCTTCGTAGAAATATAGCAGGAAATAAAGATGTTACTTTATAATCTAGAATGTCTCTAGGAGTAACATTTTGTTGATGCAACATGCATACACCCTCTACAGAGATGTCAACCACAAATCTGTATCTAAACATAATTCTTGGAATTTATATATTCCTGTCAGATCTAACCAAGTATCAAATGTCTCTTCCACCATAAGAGCTTGTGCATCATAGTTAACTCGCTTCGATAACTTCTTTTGTCCCTTGGGATTAGTTTGTCTCATTTTAGAGTACATTTCTCCGATCATAATGTATTATCCCAATCTGATTTAGAAATACATATTAACAATGTTGAATACTTGTATGTCTCTATAATGATTTACCCTTCAATCAGGAAATAACACCATAACAAGAAAACAAATATTCTTGAAAAAAATGTGTAACGGGACTATGCGCGCAGCTAATACCGTAAATCGATTCTGCAGTACCTACCTGGTGATCAGGCAACTCACATTACTATACTACATATAACCGACATAACTATTCATTAATATTCTGAGTACAGTATAAAGGAAAAGGAACGATGAAGCACCGATTGCTGACTACAAAAAGTTTATCAACATATATCCATTTTCAACGCCACTTTGTTTTGGGTAGGTGGTGCTACGGATTCAGGAATGATACTGCGAGCGGCTCATAAACTATGAGAGAAAATAATAAATAAAAATTGTTATTCTTCATGCTCTCAAAATTTCTTGAGAGTCACTCCTCAAATCAGACCAGATTCGCGCGTAGGTGGCGTGACGATCAGACACTGCGATAGCTAAACGGAAACGAACAAGACGAGTGAGTTCTTCTGAAAAATAATAAACGATATAATAAACCAGGCAGAATGAGAAAGAGCTACTGTTACTGAACTTTTTCTTGGTTTCGAATAACTCGTCAATCGTATTGTCCGACTCTTCTTAATAGTTTTCGATCTGATTTTTATATGATGTACAATTTGCTGTAGGCGATGCTACCACTGCCCCACTGCCACCGATCTTATATTCCTGCATCAACCCTCCACCAGTGTACATAGTGATCTGATGAATTGAATCCTGGATAATTCATTCGATAAGCGGCTACTGTCATACAAAAATTGGACCGGAAATCAACAACCTATAGAACTGGCTAAAGCAGGATTTTATTTCAGAGGAAAGGATGATGTTGTGGAATGTTTTCAATGTGGGGTTGAAATACACATGTGGAATCATGAAGATATTCCTATTGAGGACCACTTGAAGTATTCAAAGATTTGTCCGTATGCTAATCTAATAAAGGATATTTTATACAAGTCAGAAGATGAGACAAACCTTTCGAAGAATGAAGAACCAAAAGATTGCTGTGTGGGTTCAGTGCATCTCAAAGTAAATTTATTACATGTTTTGTGCACACTATTATCCATGAATATTTTGCTAGATATCTTCAATAAAATCTATTGAAATTTATTTGAGTTTTATTAAAGATTATTCTAACAAGTGGATATGGAACACCTTACCAGTCCCTACGAAAATATATTTTATAACTCATTATGAAAAAGAAAATCATATCAATACATCTCACCGACAGAGACTACAGTAGTAGGACTAAGCCGTTTCTGATTCAAAGCCGCAAGTAACACTCCCTAGGTGGCGCTGTAGATGTGGCGATAGTTTTAACTTCTTGATGTTTGTATTTATAATATGTATTATTCGTATGGTGACGTCATTTTTGCCAATATATATTTCGAATTAAATAAAAAAAGCTGTGAGCTGTGCGAACAGGGAATCGAACCCCGGTCGACGGACTGTGAGTCCGATGCGCTACCATTGCGCCACATCCACAAGTAAATGTTTGTGTTCAAGTTGGGGATATAACATGCCGGCCGGCTAGCGCGCGGGTCGCCTTCACTGGCAGACGTCGGATACTTGGAGCGCGGCGCACCGCATCGTTGCCAGACGTTCAAGTATTTGGGTGTTACTCCGTAATACGGACGTGGGCCATTTGAAGATGTGTAATGTGAAATATTCAACTGATGTCTTATGAAAGATAACGTATTGCCGTTTTGACGTGCATAATCGAGAGTAAGAGGAAATGATACAACAATTTTCATTAGAGTGAATATACTATTTTCATTGGATAATTGAGAAACATCATTTGGGTATCATATTATCGAACCATTTGTATAAAATATCAACGTTGCGAAGACTGCAATTGTAGGATTCCCGACGGAGGTGGTGCATACAGGATGTGATGGTGTGGTTGTGATCGAAAGTTGGTACATCGTACCAGGAATCGTCGAATCGCTCCAAGTTCACAACTCTCGCATGTACATTGAATGTTGCTAGTTTATCGTCCAGAAAGTCCTTCTTTTGATGTCCTCGCACATAAATGATATCGATGTCGCTCAGTTTCTCCCGAAGAATATCATCCAGTAGATTGTATGCCACGAAGCCGGAAGAATATCTAAGCCCATGAATGTTTCTCTCCAAGAAACATACACCACATCGGTCTTCTTTGCTGAGAGATGAAAAGGATTTGTATGGAAGTAGCAGATAGTTACTACATTGCACTCCGATTTTTATGGCAATCTCCTTGGGACGGAATTAGCTCGATAATGAACCCCTGGATGTCTATAAAAGCTACTCTCATGATGCTGGTCGAACTCAAACTGAGTGGAAAACTGAGAATCAATTCCACTTTTTGATAATTTCACTGAGTGGGAGGTGCTCAATGATGTTATCGTGAACGATGATACAATAGGCTCGAGTGTTGGCGGGAAATCCTTGGGATGCCTCAATCTCAAGTTTGACATCGACAGTGGAACTTTTGACACTTTCATCTCGTCGCGAACAATCGATAACGAAAAGAGGTTGTTTATTGGCAAACTCTGGGTAACCCAGGAGTGGAGTGTGTAGCGAGGTGTTTTTATAGCTGTATCCAAATTGCGTATAGTTGAAGTACGCCTGTGGAAAGGCTCCTTTATCGAAGGCCAGCTGCATCTTTTCCTTTGGATAACTTTCCCCATGTCGTGAGAGAAGGCAACATATGTAATTCCCATTTTCTGAAGGGTATTAGGATGGGGGTGTCGGCTTTGATTGCCTTCAAGAGTTGTAGTTTGATTTGATCGTTTGGAAATAATCTTTTCACTTTGAGTTCCACATTTTCGATTTCCAGTTGTACTTTTGTGGGCACAACAGCTGCGCCGACAGCAGTTTCGGTGATTCTGAAGCAGTTATTATCGTTTCCAGCTCGCACCAAACGAATAGAATGTTTACCATAGGAGACGCACTCATAATCGTTGAAAATATTCAGCAGATGCTTCAATGGAATAAACATACTGAATGCTAAACTTGTCGCATTTATGACATCAACGTTATTGGGGTAGGTCCAACCTGCTATAGCCAATTGTTTCGTATCTTCAGCACTGTAGCACAAATAACCTCTTACGGTGCTAACAGTTCCAACATCGCGCACTGCTTCCAATTCCTTGCCATTCTGATCATAACTGATGGATTGAAACATATAGGCACCAGCATTATTGACGAAAGCTACATGCCCAGCACCTTCAGTTCTCGTTACTTTTCCGCTAATGTGCAAAATACTTTCATAGAGAGCATCGAAAGCATCAGACTGATGTTGATTTCTATGACATCATTATCGCGGAACGACTTGACGTAAGGGTAGTATGTTCTCCATTCGACCTTTTGTATGGATTCGTCGACGTGAGGCTTTCGGAATATGTTGAACACTTGAGAGGATAACATGATAGCCTAGTGACTTGGCGTACTGAGTGGGCGGCGGGCAATGTGGTTGATGAATGTCTTCTTGCAGACTGAAGGAGCAGGAACGGAGGTGCGAC